GTTATTTAGTTAGTTAGCTAGCTAGCTAGCTAGTTTGCTGGTTAGCTAGTTAGCTACTTAGCTACTTAGCTAGCTAGCTTGTTAGCTAGTTAGCTGGTTAGCTAGTTAGTTAGTTAGTTAGTTGGTTGGTTGGTTGGTTGGTTAGTTAGTTAGTTGGTTAGTTGGTTAGTTAGTTAGTTAGTTAGCTAGTTAGTTAGTTAGTTGGTTGGTTGGTGAGTTAGCTAGCTAGTTAGTTAGTTAGTTAGTTAGTTAGTTAGGTAGGTAGTCAGTTAGTTAGTTAGTTAGTTAGTTAGTTAGTTAGTTATTTAATTAGTCGGTTGGTTGGTTAGTTAGTTAGATAGTTGGTTGGTTGGTTGGTTAGTTAGTTAGCTTTTAGTTAGTTAGTTAGTTAGTTAGTTAGTTAGTTAGTGAGTTAGTTAGTTAGTTAGTTAGGTAGTCAGTTAGTTAGTTAGTTAGTTAGTTAGTTAGTTATCTAATTAGTTGGTTGGTTGGTTAGTTAGTTAGATAGTTGGTTGGTTGGTTGGTTAGTTAGTTAGTTTTTAGTTAGCTAGTTAGTTAGTTAGTTAGTTAGCTAGTTAGTTAGCTCTTTATCCAGTTATTGACTTACGTTTGTACTTGTTTGTTCCCTTGTTTAGGGAGGGAGTATTCATTTAGTTTTCGACCTATTTCTGTATGAAGGTATGTGTTGATCTAATTATTTATGTATCTATTTATGTATGTATTTGCGTATTTATTCCCGTATGCTTACATACATGCATGTATGCATACACGCAGATAAACACATGGACTGACTGACGGTGTGTGTGTGTGTGTGTGTGCGCATAAGTTGGCCTTTGCATGCAATGCTCTGATTCTTCATGTCTTCGTCCTGCTGAAAGACAGGGTGCTGTCTGTCGCTTCTGTTCACTTCTACTCACTATCACAGCATGATCTGATGGGTGTTGCAGGACCTTTGCCTGGCAGCAGAGCTGCTGGACGGGAATAATGCCTCTGCAGGTGTTTTGCATGTGCACGGCATGTGAATCCAACCATGTCCTAACTTCAGCATAACGCTGAAACAAAGCCCATAACACCTGTTCGCTTGCGCGGAGGCCTGACCAGAACAACTGAGAAGCCAGCAGCACAACAAGAAGAAGGGCATCAGGATACGCACCTTGCGACCGGGACGTCTCTAATGGTCTGGCTTACCAGAGTACCAAGTCAAGAATAGCGCATGCCGAGTCTTGGGGCCCATGCCCAGGTCATGAGCCGAACCCACCTTCGCACCTCGTCGCACTGCGAGAGATCCTGCGAAGAACCGGGAAAGCAAAGCAGCTTGAAGCTACCATGGAGGTGCTGTAAGATGCTGCCTTGAAGAAGAACATGCACAACCCCACTGCCCACAGAACCTTGGCCGCGCGGAGATGGAACAGTACTGCAGCTGCCTGTAAACTAATTCAACTGCTATGCCGTGCGTTGCATTGCTTGCTGAAGTGGAGCTAGGCACGCAGGAGCTCGGGCCCGTTTGAGGGCCAGGACGGGGTGACCCTACAGAAGTGAGACACAGACAGAGCACATCTGGAACAAAGCACCGCACCAGTGAGGAAATCATGGAAGCCGTGATGGATATCACTGCACAGCGCGTGACCTCGCAAGAAGTGAGCGGAAAGACAGCACAGGGCCAGCAGGGCAATAGCGCCTTGTTGAAATTGTCGACCCTGCCCTCCAGCTCTTCTGGAAGTTCTGGGTCACCACGGGCCTCCCGAAAAAGCAAAGCACGGGTGGCAAACCGGACCGATCTGCGACGTCAGACTCCATTCTACTGGCCGCGTGCTAGCATGGTTTGGTAGGTCTGGCTAGGCAGGGTAGAAAGGGGCTGAATTGCAAGGTTCAGCCTTTATTTTTGACGACCGAGAACAATCTTCGGCAGTGGTACGGAAGAAACGGGGGAGAAGCACGCATAACCTAGTACCTGCTCACCTGTCAAGGCCTCCTAGGACTCTTGAAATACGAGCTTTGCTCATAGCTCGGCAAAGCTTTCCCAATCCTTCGCAGGCAACACATGCCTCGAAGCAGGCATCCTTCCAAACTCTTCGAACAGATAGCACAAACAACCGGGTAGTCTTATGTGCAAACATACTTTCACACCGATCCTCGTACACGTCTCAGAATGAGAGGGCATAAAGCACGCCAGTTACGCGGCTCCGACGAGGGCAGGAAACCACGATTGTTGACGCCTCGACATGTCCCCACCTGCCTCAAGTCAAGCGAGTGGCTAGAGATCGACAGTAACCTACAGGGAAAACTGCCGCCTAACTTCTTCGCCGGGCTGGACGCCTTCCTCACCAGGTGTTCCTGGAGCTCGAGGTCTTGGAGAACCTGCAGAGCAAGGTACGGGGACGCGCACACTGCGAGGGTGTTCTGGCCTGAGCTTGGAGGCAGAGCCAAAGGCTGAGGAGGCTCCCGAAGAGACAGACCACGCTGTCGACAGTCATCCTGGCACGGAGAAGCAGAGAAGCACCATTCCAGGAACCCACAGATGCTCCAAATCCGTGCCGGGCTCTCCAAGCGGCCGTGGCCCAGCCACAGGCGGAGCTGAAGTTCCTGCAGGCCCGTGCTACGCCGGCTACGCAGCGCTCCACCGTGGATCTCCTCGCGGCGAAGACGAGCTCCAGCAGGGACGGCAGGGCCAGGACGAAGCTGTTCATGATGTAGAACTGCACACGCAAAGACAGGGCTCATAGCAGTCGCATGCAGTTGCTCTGATGAAGGCACCTGAGCCGCTCCTCTTCGCAGGGAATTGTGTGCCTGCGGCCACGAAAAGGGGCTCCAGGAAAATCTCCATTGCTACGCATTGCTACGCATTGCTATGCCCTCTGCGACTGACACAGTCTCAGAACAGTTTGATTGCGCGAAGGGGCTGAAGACTCAGCCTTGCTCGTGGCCTACAGTGGCCTGCAAGCGTGGATACCCTTACGGAATATTGCCCATGACTGCCAGGCGTGCTGTGACCTGAAACTTCACGATAAAGGCCTCTGCGAATTTGCGTGTTGAACCGCGAGTAACATCGAGCCCATCCCTGGCATCCAAAGGCAAGATCTTTGACTGCGATATGAACTGATAGCAAAGAGTTCACCAGCTAGCTAGCTCATGCTGTTGGCAGCAATCTGCGCCTTCGCCAAACTCGTGTCTCACAGAGCTCCTTCTCTGCCTACGGGCAGAACCGCGACTTTCTCTTTCTCGGCTGACTTCTCGGGCCATGTAAGGCTGAAGCCAGGGTTTCTCGCAGAGCAGGGTCGTCCTCATACCTGAAACGCTTCGCGTCTGGCTGGGGACGAATCTGAGATGTTCTCCGCTGAATGGCAACGTGGGGCCCAGGCTGAGCGGCCCATTCTGGCAAGGCCATGGCATAAGAGCGCAGCGGCGTCTCGTGCCGCCGTCGGATAGGCGTTGGCGTGTTGTGGCCACTACGTGGTGGATTCTAACTGGGGCTGCTTGGATCTGGGGTCCGCATTTTCCCTGCATCTCTCAACGATCCACTTAGCCATCTCAGCCAAATTGGTGTTGCTGGCCGAAGCGGCACAGTAAAGCAGGTCAGCTGAACTGCACACTTGCAAGATCTCGCAGTATCATAGCTGCATAGCTATTGAGTTCCGTTCTTCTGCTTGATCTTCAGCCACCACCTGCACCTGGGCGAGGGAGCTGGTTCCCCCCTTCCTGCCCCGAGTGTCGTAGATCTCCCAGGCGATGACAACCCAAGACCCTGACCACTGACTGACAGTTTTTGCAATCAGCTAACATTTGGGCCCATGCCCCATGAAACCCTCCTGGATCTCCGAGGAAGGTCACCTACCGCTGATGCTGTCGATAGCTAAGACGACCAATGAAGATCACAAACTCTCCAAGTTTGGAGTGTTGGCTCTTGCCCCAGCAACCAGGCATCCACATGCCCGAGAGGAGTCAACAATCGTGCCTTGAACGGACCGTTTAAGAAGGCGAGGATCATGACAGTGCCCGACCTTGCTACACGAGGCCTACAAGTTCCATAGCTCCAACAGGAACTGGGTGTATCAGAAGACCTCGCTTGCCCCTCTTTTCCCTGCTTGTCAACGCCGGCTTCTGCAGTGCACAAGGGAGAGCAGCCCATGCTGACCTTGGCTTGCGCATGTCTGACGCGATGCTGGGCTGCAAGGCAAGTCGGGAAGATGGCGCGCACCCCTTGTGCAAGGCTTCGCTTGATTTTGCGCTCTGCGATTTCGCCGCACAAGTCTAAGACAGATTCATGGCCAAGGACGTGTGCAAGCACTCCAGTGGTCTGATCGCATAAACTTGGCAGCTATGCATGAGGTGTGGGTTCAGAGCTTGCCGACACCGGGCGCAATTGGTCAGGTTGGGCAGAAAGTCTGGCCATATTTGGAAAATAGGCAGGTTGTTTGCTGAGTGAATGCCACGAAATCACACAAAGCGACAACAACATGTCTGAATCTCATGGTGGCACAGTTCTTGACTTGTGTTGCAGAACATCCTCCGCTAGAAGACAACATCACACATCACACCGAGATGAAGGCGAGGTTAACCATTGTTTCGGCAGCACGCGTCTTTGGCTCCCAACTGTTGAGACGTGAGAAGTCTGATAATGTCAGTCCGGTTGGCCCTGCATGTCAAGCAATTTCTGGCTCGACATGGCGGACAGGCCAGTAACAGTCAGACTGCTCTCAGAGAGCTACGCTGCACGAATGAAGCATGGCACTGGCAATGTCACTGGCCAGAACTGCGTACCATACAGCTTCAACTGTGTTTGCGAATGGCTGTGGGCGCGGAGTACAGCTCGAAGCAAAACAAGTCGAAAATCCGCGAAAAATCGAAAGGTACGGCGCGAAAAGTGCAAAGTCAAAAGGTCTAAAAGTCGGAAATATCGAAAACATGACAGATCCAGAACCACCGCAGAAGGCGAAAATCAACAAGTCTGCTCAAAGATCACCAAAAGAGCCCGGGAGTTCGCCTGACCCGAAAACCCAAAAATTCAGCAAATGTGCCATTTTGTGGTTAACATGCGCCCATCCATGCCTGCATCAATCCATGCCTACGTCTTAGCCAGTTTTTGTGCGTCCCACGAAATGCTCAAAATCAGTGAAAGCTGCAATTTAACAAGCATTCACAAACTAGAAAATGTGCCAAAACGCCTATGGTTTCGCTCCTTTGAAGAATTTGGCATGCGCAAGGTTCTTGATTGGTTTTCCTGAGAGGTCATTGTTTCATGGTAACATAAGACCCCCCCCCCTGAGATGTAACCTG